TATATTTGCTCTTCTGGTTACTCTACTCACGCCTAATCGAGTCCAAAATTATGTGAAAATTACTGAATTATGTGAATTTTTAAGCGAAGTACAGTAGAGCCTAAAATATTTTAATATTCGAATATTATCAGAATGCTTGCAATGATGAATGTCTACTAGCAATTAAAACATACAGATGTTCTATTTCGAATAAATGTTCGAATATTGAAATGTTCGAGAAGTAAACTAGGCATTATTAGAAAAATGGAATTTTGCCTCTACGATTTCTCGAGTTTCTTATTTTATTTTTTATTTTCGAAATCTCGAGTGAAGAGAAAGAGTTGATTTAATCTTTGTAAAAAAATACATGATATTCGAATTTTCTGAACGATAGAAAGAATTCAATTGAAAATGATTCACTTGTAATTAATAATTTATGGATAGATGTGAAAATGTTAATTTAGGAGACGGTATCTGTTGCAGGTTTCCGTGCCCATAGTGAGTAACGATAGATGTAAGTCAATGTTCCTGAGGGCTGGGAGACACGAGTTCATACCGGATATCTTCCTGTGCGCCGGATACGAAAGTGGAGGCCAAGATTCTTGTCAGGTAGCCTTTCTAATTCATTATTCCATTAGTCTATATTCTACGCGTATATACACGCGTTCATTTATTCTACAGCTCTTTCCTTTTTTAATATAATATACGTTGTCGTTTAGTGTTGAGAAGGTCTGTCTTTCAAATTACTTACAACAATTATATAGTTACAATTTTTGTAAAGTAAACAGAGAACAAACGCTCGTGAAGTTTCTAAGCCTCGGAATGGCGTCTCGCGTAAAATTTCCAGGGCGATTCGGGTGGTCCTCTGCAAGTGCGTGGTAAAGATGGTCGATACTTCCTCGCTGGCATCATATCCTGGGGAATCGGTTGCGCGGAGGCCAATCTACCCGGCGTTTGCACCAGGATCTCCAAATTTGTCCCATGGATCCTGAAGAACGTCACTTGACCCGATTTCCAAGCAATCGTTTTGCCACAGCACTTGGTCGACAGCTTGTTGACGAACCGAAACTGTTCGAATGAGCGCGCATTCCCAAACGTAAAACTGCACGTTTCATCGGTTTCTTAACCGAGGGTTGGTAACAAGGAAATCGCACGAATCGCTGCCAAAAAAAAAAAAAAAAAAGAAAAAAAAAAAGAAAAAAAAACGCAAGACTTGTCGAAGAAAACGAGACTCGAGCAGAAAGTTTCTCGTTTGCCTTTGAAAAAAGTGAGCAAGCAAGAAAGAAAGAATGAACGATAGAGGAGAAACGAGAGCTATTACACGACATAGGTACGTATACCATCAAACTGGATAGAAGTTTGAGAAACTTCCATCGCGAAGACTGTTGCACGAAATGCGAAGCCAATCAAACACAGAGACCACGCGAGATCGTGAAGAGATCGTTCGTTATCGAGCGGGTAAAAAGAAAACTACTCGCGCGCCTAGTACTGTATTTATATATAAATATAAATTTGAGTAAGATAATAATATATTTCCCGTCGAGCGAACGAGCTGTACGCTCGTCTGTCAGTTTTTACAACTAGCCTGTACATGGATATATAAAAAGAAGAGAATTTAAGTGGAGGAATAGTTAATGGCTTGACGTTGAAAACGCTGGGGGAGGGGAAGAAAATAAAAAACTACGAGAACGATGAATAATTAAAAGATATCGGCTGTTTCAACAGCAAGCCACCATGATTATACATCCATCATAATACCACAAGTTGTATAGCGAATTCTGTAAAATGCTAAGTTCTTGCCCATCGTTTTTTAGTAGTCTTCTATTAAGCGAAGAACTAAATTATTCTCCTATCTGTCCCTTTTTGTCCCCTTCTCTCTCTCTTTCTTTCTTTTCTCTTCTTTTATTTACAACGTAAATATTTTTGTACAGACATACATCGTGTACTTAAAAGTAGTTGTGTGCAAACTAGGAGAAATCTGATAAATATAAATATAAATATACATATATATGTGTATGTATGTATGTATGTGTGTAATTGTTTATATATATATATATATATATATATATATATAAAGATATTTATAAGTATGTCAAATAAACATACACGTGTGTTTATTACTACCCGGAATTCGTCCATCTTTGTTCCCAAGTAGGAAATGTTAACAGTTACAAGATTCGCGAATTGAGCGGATCGTTGACCCGACCAGCGATCAAAGCCACCGAGGTCTCCGCATCGACGATGAAGTAGAGGAACGGATGGACAACTGTAAATGGCACTGGCCCTGCCCTCTCGAATAATCCATTCCCTATGAAAGAAAAATTCCTCTGAAATATTCGATCTATAATTTCAAACGTTCGTTTGACTGTGACTTACTGATAAAGCTACTTTATAATTGAAGAGATTTTTGAAGAACATAAGATAAAGGTTTCTTTAGAAATTTTAATTCTGATTTTTTTTTTCTAACATTAACAACTAGTAATAAATAAATAAACAATTATTTCTTACTAGTTACTCGGTGTCAGAAATTTCAAGAATATTTATTTTCGTCGTAACGTTGGTTAAACCTTCGATTTTCAGAGAACTCTGCATATTTATCTCCTTGTATTATTTAAAGAACTTGTTACTTCAAAACCTGTTAAAGAAACTTGTTCTTTTCCCGACCATATGTATCGAGTATTTCTTTTTAATTACAAATGTTTCACGTTGTTCCTACGTGATCATATCATAAAAATCGTTTTCTTCAGAAATCTTGGAAATTATAAGCTATTCCATTCAGTGCACGTATGATGAAAAAGTTTTTAGGTAAATGGAACGAGCAGTAACAGCGTGGAAGAAAAGAGAGCAAATGAGAATTGGAAAACGAACAGCTGATACACGGGATTAATTGGAGAAACGTTTTCGAAGCAGCATTCCTCGCAACGATTCAGGAATTCCTGGCAGTCATAACGGAGAACAAACCGCAAGGTCTTTTTATTTATTTCCTTCGGTGAGTCAGGCGCACAGGATATCAGCGATTAAATCCAGCCGACATTATAACAATACTGAGAATATTCGCGATCGTGGCCAAGCGTCAATTACGATAAACCGGAAACGGCAGCTGTTCGACGAGCAAACAACGAATTGGCAATTCGATTCGACATTAGACGGTCGATCGGAGAAAAAGGAAATCTCCCAGAATTTTTTCTTTTTTTTTTTTTTTTGCGCAATCGGAACCTAACACGACTTTACGTGTAAAGACGGGGAAAAACATTAATTAACCATTACACGGATCGTTCGTTTTCGTCGTAACGCAGGGAACAAACGAACGGGCGATGTTTGTTCGATTCTCACGATGCAACTCGCTGATACGACGTTTGTTGCCAGTCAACAACCTCGACAAGTGAGTGTATCGAGTTACGAATGCGAACGATCTAGCTAGCTAGATGGGAGAAACTCCCTCGACAAATCAATCGAGTATCGGCATGGCGCCACGAGAGAAGTAGAATTTCCTATTCCTGCAATGCGTGCCTGAGAACACTCCAATTGGTAAAAATAGAGCAACACTTGCAAAGGATGAATTGCAAATCTGAAAATCTGCACTCGTTAGGAATGTAACAAAATTAATCACTTAGAAATGTACACAACGTTGGTTCCACGATAGTTCGCGAAGTTGAAGGTAAATCCTAAATCTAGACCTTGAGTCTACAAAGTTGTAAGATTGATGTAATAAAGTTAACTTTATAGTAGTTTGAATAATTATAGTAGTTGGGATAATTATTAGAATATATTTTAGAGATAATTATAAAATATATAGTAGTTGGGATAATTATTAGAAAGAGTCACTTTCATCAATGGTAAATGTTCTTGATAATAATTGCTTATGCATTTGTAGAGGTTGTGCTATATCGAGCAGAACAAAAATATCTAATACGAAGAAGAAAATGAAGAGGGAAGGGAATTGATCAGACACGCGCCAGTAGTAACAGCCAAGCATCGTCAGACACTTGCTCGCCGAGCGTACGACATGCGCCAAAGAATCGCAATTTCACCTGTGGATATTGCGTCACAGCGATTACTTGATCGAATCTTACCAATCGCTGATCACTTCCTCTCTTTACGGTAATCCGAGATATCCTCTTCCTTTTTTCTTTTTTTTTTTTTTTTTTTCTATACACAAGAAACTCGCGATCAATATCCTTTGAACGGAATAAAATTCTCCAGTAAAAATCGTAAGGGTCCAGAAGGACCTTTAGTTTAATTTTACAGAAGAAGAAGAAAGTTCGTAGGAGAGAAAATTCGCGAATTTTTTGGGAATTTTTCACCATAGAGTTGGCAATACATTGAGATGAAAATTCAATATCATCCGTAGAAATTCTAAATCGTGAAGTGATTTGAAACGAAGGCGGGAAATTTGCGAGTTTTTCGAGTATTCGAAATCTCACTTTTTTTTTCATAAAGTTCTAAACTTTCTAAGAGAGGAGATACTTTTAGTAACGTTGAGATAAAAATTCCAAATTTTACCAGACCTCCAGTTTTAACTGTCGATGCAATCACTTAAAGCCACGTAGCTTTCAGGGATTGAAGTTGTGTGGGAAATAGAGGGAAAGTGCAATAGAATGTAGAAAGCACAGAGCAGAAACCTGGATGATAGTATCGGTAATAGTCCCGACGAAGTAGAACGATCAATGGAGGATCGGTAGGGCGGTAAGTCGACTCACGAGAGTGGGTCCTGTCTGGTTTCATATAGTTTCTGATGTTCACGCCGATGCTCTGCTGCACGTCTCTGGCATACACACCAAGATCTGGTGTCATTGGGGAGAGGTCTGCTGTTCTCGGCTCGAACACGTCCAAAATCCCCAACTGAAAACGAGATAATAAAATAACTAACAAAAATTACCCATCGAAAATCATAAAATTCAAAGAATAGATATAAGAACAAAATATAATAAAACGAACTATCAGAAGCATCAAATAATTAAATTCATAAAACTTCATATAACTAATCAAATAACAAAGGATATAAAATCATCAAGAAGAGTCTAACGCTTCAATGAAACAAAAAACTTCCAGTCTCAAGGCTCAAGCTGTCTCGAGTTGATCTATTCGGTGACACTGAAGCTAGTAAAAACGGTGAGACAGCAGTGGAATCGTTCGTAAAACCGGCGAGCCGAAAATTACGTCTATTAAACAATTCGCATTGTTCGCCGTTCGGTGTGTTCCGAATTGTCGTGAATTACGCGTCGTCAAGGAGGCCACGTGTTGCCGATCGGTCTGCCTCGCGGAATACAGCGGTGAACGAGAAACGGAAAGTGCACTCAAGATCTCTAGACTAACGCGATTAAGTAATTAGGCGCTTAATGGCCGCGACTAATGGCAAAATATCGAGCGGCGAACGCCATGACGAGCATGATTCGGCAAGCAAGCTTCCAGAACCATTGAAATTCCGTTCCTCGATAATTTGATTTCTATCTCTAAAGGAGACAAAAAATTCTTCCGACCGTAATTCTGGCTGTTTGGGATTTTCTTTTTGCGTCTTGGAATTATATAGAATTACCCGTACCCTTTGGAGGAAGGACGTCAACGTGACAAAACCGCGTAACATGAAGGACGGTATGGTGGCCCTGACCCAAGTAGCCTGTAACTGCTTCCGCAGTAGTCTCAACGATTTCCCGCCGAGATCTCTCGCCAGACGATACGTGTCCCTTCTGTCTGTCGCCATCATGAGCAGAATGTTGTACCTTGGATCCTGGAACGGCATGATTTAGAAACAATCCGTAATTTCGTGGCAGAATTATTTGCTAACTCTTTATGATGCCCAGAGGCCACTCGCGCGATTAGGCTAGTTACATCTTTACAGATTTAGTAGGAAATTGAAGGACACAGAAGATCACAGAACGCACGCAATATGTAGAAATATATGAATTATCGAAACGAGGTTACTTAGTTATAGTATTTGAAAAGAAAAAATTGTTTCTACTTGGTTTCTATGAAATTGCATAGTCATCAGTGAAATTTCACAAGCCATAAGTTGCTAATAAATTCTCTTCTGTGATGGCAATTTATCATATAAAATAAATTGAACTAAGTAAAGTACGAAAGAGAATTGATCAATGATTATTGTTATTTAAAAAAAATATAGAAGATTGATTCTGGAGGAAGAGCAATTATAATAATGGAAGAATATTTCGAGAGGCGAAAGCACGGCTCTTACATCAAGCGGAAACTCGAGGGCAACAGCGTGCAGCGACGGGAAATAGGCAAAAGGTAGAACTGCAAAGTATCTCGAAGCCGTAACAGAGGAGACGTCGCAACCATTTACTAGGAATGATATCTCCGTCGAGTCTCTGACGGATGCCTCGTTCAAAGTCGTGGAATAGGGCTTCCAGATGCCTAGGTCTTGCATCCAAATTCCTTCGTCTGAAATTCAGAAAATATAATAGTAGAAAAATTTTCCCATTGGAAACGTTGCTTCCTACGCGCAAGTTTCTCGAAATAATAAATAGGCAAAAAGTAAAGAATTCGAAGAGATCCTCCATGAAATATGCTGTTTTAAAATATCTCCTTTTAACCACCAAGTGGTATGAAAAAAAAAAAAAAAAAAAAACAGTGGTAAGAGAATAAATATGCAATAACCATTTACAAAGAGACACTTGTTACGAAGTATTTTCGTAAAAAGAAAAAATCACGTATCCCAATTTCTAATTCCCATTTACCTATCTTATTTCTTTTTCACTGTGATGAATCGACCAACTTCGTCAGCGCTCTAAACCTTCAGGATCCTTTGCTCGTTCGTCTTAATCATTCCTCTACGAAACTCTATCCTACTCTATCCGTCGAGCAATCAACCCAAATAGAACATTCAGAAAAGAAGGAAGAAAAAACGAGTAACGAAAGAGAGAGGAATAAAAAGAAAATACGACATTCCACCTGGATAACTAGAGAAGAATCCCCTCGGGCTCCTGTCGCTACGTTTCTTTCGATTCATCATCGGGCTGGAGGGTACAGTGGTCAGCTGTCCAGTGGGCTCGGTTTCGCCCGTGGTCGTGAGTAGCGAATCGGTAGATCCTATCTCGTTCGAAATAGACTGATTATTCGAGTCCGTTGAAACGGTATTCTCATCGGCAGGTGGTCCATCCGTGGACGACGCCTGAGTCGGGATCGTCGAACTCGTTGAAGCTTCAGTGAACTTCACATTGGCCGCTGATACTTCTGACCCAACGATAGTTCCCGTGCTCGGTGTTGACTCTGAAATGGACACTGCGATGGTGGTAGTTTCGGTGGGCTGATCAGGCGAAACAGTCGTCTGACTAATCGATTCTGAGTTTCCTTCGGTTGCGAGCGTGGAAGGAATCTCTGAAATTGAACTTGAAGCAGATGTATTTATAACAGTAGTTGATGGGACATTTAACGTCTCTTCGGTGTTTGATGATTGAATATTTGGCATCGAAGCGACTGTCGTCGTCAGTTGAATAGGATTTGCAATGGTTGTTTGTGATGTTTCAGATGTTACTGTAGAAGCTTCACTTCTGATAGGAGTAGTTTCGGTAGGTGAAGTTGTAATTGAACTAGATAAGGTACTACTCGCGCTCGTGGATCTAGTTGCTGTTTCGGTAGATAAGGTCGTAACTAAATTAGCTAAGGTGGTAGTTTCTGTATCGCCGATTAGAACAGTGCTAGCAGGAGTAGTTTGTGTCAATCTATCTTGCTCATCCACGGTGCTTAACGTCGTTCCGAGGAGCTCAACCGAGGCAGTGGTAGACATTGGCATATCGCTAGTGGTCTTGGAAGTCTGCACAGTTCTTACGGTAACGCTTTGCGTGGTAGTTTCGTCAGAAATCGACGTTCTTGCTTCAGTCGTCGGTTGTTCGGAAGTCACGACACTGGTTGTTTCTGGCACGGCGGAAGTAGTTTCGTTGGTTTCTTCCTCGGGGATGGACAGGTCGAATCCGTAGAACCTCAGAATGTCTTCATATTCCGGCCTCAGTTTCGTGTTCTCGTGATTGAGCGTCAGGCCACCGAGAAATCCGTCCGCGTTCAGATACGTCTTTGAAATGCAGACATAATTACTGTGGGGCCCTGTCCCCCCCCCCCCCGTCACGGATGTTTAATCATCGAAACTTGCGAAACTTGTTCGAAAAGAGCGATCGACCAAGAGAGAAACTGCTACTTAAAGAAGAGAAATTACGCGTTCAAGCCTCAAGTGGATCGCGGATAGTAAATTTTCCTTGTACGATCTGATCGCCCTCGTCGATTATCATGCAAGATTAAGTAAGAAATATACAAATGACATGCAAGACAAATATAGGTAATAGTAATCAAACATGAAGAGCAGAGGAGATCTTCAAACATATTAAAACATAATATCCTTCTCGGTACGGTATTATACTTATTCTTGAACGAAATTTCGAACTATATCAAGTCTGACAAGTTTGTTTTGTTTTTAATTATCGTATCGAGGTGCTGCTTCCCAGTGATAAAATAAAATAAAAAAAAAGTCAGGTTTCCCTCCTATGATCTACATTGCACATGCATTTTATTCCTCGGATGTTTCATTCATCGAAATGTAATCATAGTCCTGAGGGGTTATCGAGAATCAGAGATGGCCAGGATAATTGTTACCCTCAATCTGCGATGGATATCGCGAAAACCGATCCTGGTGACGTGCCGATCTCGCGGTAGACCGAGAGCATCGGCGATCTGCTGTCTTCCTCTGCCAGCCGAGCCCTCGTAGAGCGCGGCCAGGACGAAGCCAACCCCCGTCGGCGAGAATGCAACGTTCCCGTGAGCCGTGTACTGCTGCAGAATCCGCACGCCTAGGTCGTTAATAACGTCCGTGATGATGTCGACCGGCCGATGCGGAACCGGTTGATACCAGCCGTCGAATCCCACGTTGTCGTAGCCGTGGACGAACACAGACGACACTGTCCGTATCGAGAATATTTTCAATGAAAAATCATCGAGCCTCGAGGAAGGTTAAGATTAAATCTTAAGTTGAAGATCATCGATAGAAGATTACGAGATATTTGATACAAGCAGTTGCGTGTAAAACAAAGGTCACGAAAGTATTAACAGTCAATGTTAATATTTAGTGAAACTGTACCATTATTCGTTAAATACATGCAATTAAGTACAAATAACAACTTCTATATACAAATAACTTATATATATATATATATATTTTTTTAGATTGGTTTCGAGTTGCAACGCCAAACGTTTGATAACTTTCTCAACTTTCGATCTGTGTGTAACCATGTTCGCCCAAGTCCAAGCACGCATCCTGCGTATCCGATTTAATATACAGATTTAAAACGACGCGATTAGTAAAAGTACTTCTTCGGTGATTGGAAATGAATTGTCAGGAAATCGCCGGAAGATAAAAATACTCAAGTGTGTAAGTACGTACGTTGCAGCAGGATCAGCCAGGACATCCAGGTGCCCATATTAATCGCGACTGGTTGCTGAATCACTGACGGACGAGGAGCACAGGCCGACTGGCGAGAAGCATGGACAACGGGCCTGCTCGCGGATTCTCTCCCGATCTACGAAAGGAAGCGCGACACGGTGGCGCGGAAACGTGGGCCGGCAGGCGCAGCTCTATTAGGATTAGTCTTAGTCGTCCGCTCTCTACGTCGGAACTGGCTCGCGGATGGTGCACGCCGCCCGCTCGAGCCTCTGCCGGCCAACTCGGCGATTTTTTAAACGGCAAGGTCGTCAGGTAGATAAACCCGTGTCTATGTACGCCGTCATATCGCGCGCTCGTCCCTCCCCTTCCCTCTTTCGCGGAACCGTGAGCCAGGGTTCCAGCTTTCCCGCAGGATGCCGAGCTAGTGGTAGTAGTAGGAGTAGAACGAGGAGGAGGAGAATTATTCGGAATTATTCAGTGACACGTGGCCGACATTCGTGTAAAGCTGCAAAGCTTGTTTTGGATGGATTTTTGGGAGCACTCCTCGCGAGTTGGTGGAAATTTAATGGCAACTGGAATTGAGAAATTTGCCAACGTTCGTTAATTTAACACTCTGAAGGTTGTACAATTGTTTTCTAGCGTTATTAATCGTTTCAGGGCTGATATTTTTGTAGAAATTATATTTTTATCGGTAGAAATTATACTTGGGAGAAATTATACTTTTATTCATAGATTTCTTGCTTGAAAGTTTGTTAGAGGTTTTTGTGATC